ACGTTGAACCAGACGCACGCGCGGGACACGGGCCAGAGGTAGCGGAACGCGCATTGGTGCATGTTGGAGGCCATCTTGGGCGTCGAGTAGAGGTAGCCCGAGAGCGTTGTCGGCAAGTCCACGTCCAAGGGGGCTGTGACCACAAAAACCTCGTTCGTGTCTCATGCATTTGTGTCTGTCGCTCTGAGCTACTCGGTTACACTCGCCTTTTGCTCTCGCTGATGTAGGGCTCTACTCACACCATACCAGCTTGCTGCTGAGTTGAATCCTTGCCAGCAGCGAGTGGCTCCTGCTGAGCCACGTACCCGAAAGAAACGTCCCGGTCAACTTCGCCGTTATGTGCTTTCCGCTTCTCGAACGCCGAGCTTGAAGAGTTGGTGGCAAACTGTTCTCGCCTTGGGATTGGTGTGGTGACTCACGCTTGGTGAATTCAAGAGTGGTGTATTGGTAGCGTAGAATGCACCTTAGACATCGATAGAACACTAGTTTTGTAGAAGGATCGCGCGAAGAGGTGCGTCGAGGGGTCGTGGGTTGCGCAATGCAGGTCGAAGGTTCGAAAACCCAGAACACAAACAAGAGTTTCTTGGCGCCCGCCTGCCGTTTTAGGAAGTTGTGTGGCTGGATCGTTTCCTCGTTAGAGGATCAAATCGGAAATGGCTATGCTAATGGCCCCGTCGTTGCTTCTTCCTTGTTCTAGCTTCTCCTCTTCTCTCCTTCTGTTGTTCTTCGTGCGCCCGGCCTTCTGCGCGAAAAACTTCTTCCATTTCTTGGGATCGCACCTTTCAATCCGCCCGAGCAGCACAATTTTGTGAGCCGCAGAAGCCAATCTCACGCTACGACCTCTGTGGTGGCTTCCGCGGTGAAACGCAAACAACGCAGCGAGGGAGAGCCATCTCCCAGGAAGCAGGCAGGTGCATTGTGTTACGCAACGAAGGCAGATTCAGAACTGAGACTACGGAGGCTAGCGTTGTGGATAGAACGATAAGAACGATAGGCTATGCCGGATGGGACCATCGTCAAGAGGTTCTGTGAAGGGTCACAACCGTCAACGGTTGCTACCTGACATCATCCGTATACGACATCTAGCCCTATCCTATCCACACCACACACAGACCACCCAGACTCCAGGCTACTCGCTTCCTGGAGTCATAACTCTCCAGCGACACACGCTTGCATTGGCCGGGCATGGCTTCACTACAACCCAGACACAACACCTCCAGTCGATGGCATCTATCAATATATATATGAACGTGTTTCGCGTTATCTTCTTAGTTACACAAAGACTTCGCATACGTAGAGACTAGCAATCTCCTTCTTCTTCATTCGCTCGCCGGTCCGTGGCTGCGCAGGCGGCGGCGCGGGGGCTCGTCTGGCTCTTCTGTCGTCGCCCGACGACGCTTGTGGCCGCGGGTGAGGCCCGTGACAATAAGCTAAAGATTATTTTGTTGTTTGCCCATGATCGCGAAGCTTGGTAGGGAAGGGCCGCGTTGTCACGCGGCATTCCCGGGCCGCAACCACAATGCGACGACTTGTTGTCAAGTTGGGATTTGATGCCACCAATTGCGCAGCCACGGCCTGACGAAGTAGGGATGGAGATTGCTTCTACGTATGCCAAATCTGATCGTATGAAGATAAGGGTGGTTCTTATCGAAATCGCGGGACGGGATCGGGACGGGAGCGGGACGGGGCGCGCGGAGGCCAAAAAGAGGTGGATTGTACTCTTCTGTGGGAATTACTGCGCTGATACGTATCAATGTCGCATCAAACGCTTCGTGCTCGATCGAGTCACACCATATTGAATAACAGAGGGTAGACGTACCTCTTCCTCGCAGCTTTAAACGAGCTTTACGACGCGATTCCGAGCATACCTAGCTATAGCACGAGCGGTACTACATCGCGATGAAATATATATTAATCCAGCCGCAAGTCTGACTGCCTAGCGCGCTCGATGCCCCGCTAAAATCGTATTTCCTGGTGTATCTTGTGAAGAACTCGTGTTCATTTGCGCTACGAGTAAATCTGACGATGCGGAAGCATTTGTCGTCCTTACCAATGTGTTTTCTCCTTCGGTAGTATGAATCGTCACTGCTCTAGCCTATTCTGCTGCGCTGGTGCCGGCAACGCAGCATTGTTGCTCTCGTGCAGCGACGTTGTGTCACTAGTGCGATGATATGGGATAAATGTCTCGTATCCCGGCAGCCAAAACCGACCGAGCTCGAAAACTTGTTGTGCTATAGCTAGGTATGCTCGGAATCGCGTCGTAAAGCTCGTTTAAAGCTGCGAGGAAGAGGTA